AGTGAGGGCCGGAGAAGATCATCGAAGTGAAGAGATCGTCGCCTGCCAGTCACAACCAGCAGCTTTTGATGTAGCAAATCGTAAGCAGCCCGTACTCTGGGGCAGCCGAAGAATTTGTGTTGTATTGTTTCAATGCACGTAGTGCAGTGAAGGCAATTTTCTCCATCCGCTCTTCTCATGGTAAACATCAGTCGCCGATTTGAGAATTTTTGATTCGTCCACATGCAGAGAGAGCTGCGCTGCGAAGGCAATAAATCACGAGTAGCTATATTCTTCCACACACGGGGCCAGTTGATTGCTGGATTTGCTATTTCGACTTTCAGTCTGGATGTACGTTCGACGAAAAAACGATGGATGAGCTCATCGGAAGGGTGTTGTCGGATTTGGAAGGGGAAGTTTGGAAAATGGTTTAGGATTATCTTCAGGCAGGGAGAGTCTGTAGGGGGGAGTTTACTTGGTTGAGGAAAGAACCATAGTAAGGAAGGGAGATCATTTCTTGCAAGTGCCGATTAATTAGCAATGCCTTACACTTGAACGCTGGTAGTTGTAAGTTGAGACCGCCATCCTCCCGTTTTCGCGCTAGCTGCTCCATCGGAATGGTCGCACATGCACCACGGAATAGGTAGCTCCGCATGGTAGCCGTCAGCTTCGCCACGTGTGCCGCCGTTGGATTTAGGTTTGCTGCTATGTACCACATCTTCGATGATAGGAATGTATTCAACAGCGTTACCTTTTGATGTAAGGATAGGCTGCGTAACGAGTGTAGCCACACTTGCCGAGCGAAGTTTGTCACAAGTAGGTCCCAATTCAACTTGGTCATTACCCGCATCGAGTTGGCGAAAATAACTCCGAGAATTTTGATAGTGTTTTCGGTACGAAGCCACGGCACAGTTAACGGATTGTTAATGAGGCCGACGTCGATTGCCGTTGTTTTAGCTTCATTCAAGCGCGCCCCTGCTACTCTTTCAAAACGTCGGAACAAATCCCGCATCGCATCGAGCTTATCGACGCTGGTGACGATGGCACTGATGTCATCTGCGTATGCGACGATTAGATCTGCTCCACACACTTGTTCTAAACGCCGCAAGAGTGGGTGCAGATAGAGTACAAAAAGATGCATCGAGAGAGGGTCCCCTTGGTGGACCGAACGTTCGATTTGGAAGGGTGCAGAGATAAACAAGCGAGATGAAGAAGCTGCTGATATACGGGAGAGCAAATCCACAAGCGCCGGGTTGAATCCCATAGCTCGCATCGTATCGAACAAGAAGCGTTGGTCCACACGATCGAATGCATGATCGAGATCGAAAGAGATCAGTTTTCCATTTTGCCTGTTCGCTTTCAGCTGTGCAATTTTATCTTTCAAAGCTTACGTGGCCTGGAAGATATTGCGTCCAGTATTTGAGCATTTTTGCGAGCCAGTCAAAACACCATGGGCACGGAATACATTTTCAAGTCGCTGTTTTAGGACACGCGAGAGAATTTTATAGTCATAATTGACTAGACTAATTGGCCTGTATGAACGTGCGGTGTCCCCCGCACCTCGTTTCTTCACCAGCACGATCACTCCATCGACGAACTGACTCGGGAGATTTGACCTGATAGCTTCCTTCAAAATCAGGTTCAGTTCACGATGTATCACATCGAAAGTACGCAGATAAAACTCTTTCGGCAGCCCATCAGAACCTGGTGATTTTCTGGATGCGCTTGTGCGGATGGCAGAAAGTATTTCAGCCGTTGTTACCTCATTCATGCAGTCTTCGTTTACGACATCGTGCTCGGGGATGACTCTCTCGCACTGAAAGGGTCCTTCTTCTTCTTCTTCTTCGTCCACATGACCGCGTGCGTATATATCGGTGAAGAATTGGACCATATGATCCTGTATCGCAGCAGAATCACCGATGACCTCGTCTCTCTCGTTTCGCAGTTGCTCAATGGTGGTCCTTCGGCGCCTTCTCTCGCCTAGCTGGTAGGTCGACAACGGCTCACCAGCAACGTAGGTTTCGTTTGTCCGCACAAACATTTTGGAGAAACTTCGTTGATTTGAAAGCATTTCGGCTTTTACTCGGTTGATGGTGGTGAGCATTGGCACGGTTGTTTTGGTAGCCATCGTACGCTTGCCGTAGTAGATCGTGGAGCCGTTGCTGTTCACGATTAAATTCGTCGAATGCTATTTTTGACTTCCAACAGAAGAAGGACTTTATTTTAGGCTTTGTGCACGACAGCCACCATTCCATCCACGACGAATAATTTCGGCGTTGACGAGTCCAATATTGCCACCGGATTTGAAACTCGTCTATATTTTCTGTGGTCAGGAGGTGGAGACGAAGAGCCCAGAAACCACGACCATGTGCTCTGTCGGCGAGAGGAAGGCAAATTCTCACGGTGACGGCTTTGTGGTCCGAGAAGCAGCACACATGGACAGCTGTTGATCTCAGCTGTTCTCGGAGCCCGGCGCTTACATATAGCCGATCGAGCAGGGACGAGGAGTTGTGTGTGATGTAGGTGTATTCCATCTCTCGTGGACGGAGCTGCTGCCAAACGTCATGCAGATGTAGCTGCTGAATGGTGGCTTGATCACGCAGTTGAAGTCGCCTCCAAGGATGATGTGATCGTGCGATGACGGAGATAATACGCGATGGTATTGTTAAAAAACCGCTCTCGTTCTGAACGAAGCACGGAACCCGATGGAGCATACACATTATAAAACGTAGTGTTGTGAACACGAAGGGCGAGCAATCTCCCGTCCAGGCTCTTTTCTACGTGGGAGAATTTAATATGTTCTTTTAGAGCAATTGCCGTTCCTCTTCTCGCATGGTCGACATTGCAGACAACGATATAGCCGGGTAATGCAAGCTGTTCATTTTCAACCTCCTGCAGAAACACAATGTCTAGCTGCATTGTGCGAACGAACGTACAAAGGGCATTTTGCTTGGATTGGTTGGTGATGTTGTTTATATTTATGGTTCCGATATTACAGCTGACGTACTCCATTATTGCTGCATTTCTTCATCGGAAACTCTGATGTGTTCGTGTTCGGAGGTGATAAAATCTCCGGAGTGTCGCATTGTCTTACCCGGTGGTTGCCTACGCGTGCGTCGGCTGTTGTTCGAAGCAAGAGATGTTTGTGAGCTGTCCGTGTCGTTGCCATCGGTCCTGCGATGAGATACGGATGTACCGATCGGGATTGACAGCAGCGAGAGTTGGACAATAGCTTGCATTGCGGAGGGTTTTGCTGTAGATCGTGCAGCCGGTGGCGGCATTGTGTTTTTCCGCTGTGCTGCTGCAACTCGTGTCTCACTTGCTCCAAGGAGACTTGCCTTCAAACCCGAAGTTCCTGAAGTCGAGCTCGATGATGGTTTTCGTGGATCCGATAGCTGTTTCATCGGTTGAGGTTTGGACGGTTTTCCCTTCGTTACGTTAGCGTAGGATTGATCTGCTACGAGCTTCTGCACTAGCAGTTTTTTGTTTTGAACACATGGGATGCCGATGTGTGCAAATTCATGGCAGTGCTGCCGCTGCCCCTTGTATCCCACCGCAGTTTCTTCGCCCTGGATTGTCACGAGTGAAGGAATGTTCTTCGTTACTACCATTCGAGCAACACGAACACCGGTATTAACACCACCAAAATCACTGTATCGGTCATCCCACATTAGGTCACGAACACTAATAACTTATCCGTAGTCGGCGAGGAAAACTGCGATCTGGTCGTTGGTGATGCTTTCGGGTAGTTGCCGATGGTGATGCTTTCGGGTAGTTCGAAGCACCTTTACCTCCACCGCACCGTCCTCCATCGTAATCCGTAGTTTGTAGGACTTGCCATCAAATACGAACTCGTGCTTGCTATCGTGTTGCTCCACGATCTTCTCGGCAAGTTCGAGGTTCTTGACCTTCACGAAGGTACATCCAAGCCATCACCAAGGTTGGAGTAGAAGCACGTTTTCGCGCGTAAGACCGAGTTCTTTCCCGACGAACTTATGAATCTCGTCATGAGAGAGGATCTTCGGAAACTGCGAATAGTCAACGCGAAACTGCGGCACGGCATCGCGGAATATGACGTCGCGGCGAACGCGAACGTGATACTTGAAGCGACGGTAGAAAATAACCGATACAGAAACGTACAATAGTCCGTGAACGACTTCCAAAACTTGGTTGTCCAAAAACATCGACTGCTCGGCTCGGAAGTTGAGCGCTAACTATGATAATATGAAACCTTTTTTTAAAAATTAAAAATGCCAAAGACATCAACACATTCAAAACTGAAAAACACATATTCCACACTTGGTGTAGCAGGCTAACTGTGATAAAGTTAGGGACTTAGGTATTATCTTAGACTCTAAACTTACATTCATTGACTTTTATAATACAACGATAAACATAGCCAACAACACGCTTTTGTTATATCTTTCATGACCCGTATATGATAAAAACATTGTACATTGCTTATGTCAGGTCAATACTAGAATATTGCAGCATAGTTTGATCTCTCTTTGCATACATGAAGAAAGAATAGAGTCAGTACAAAATCAAATTTTGTATTATAGGCACTCGGTAAGTTAGGTTGAACTGTACTTCCTTAACCATCTTAAAAAGCTCGATGTATTCTCATCAACATGATTGACGACACATATATAAATCCAGATACAGACCCAGCGTAGTGGTTAGCATCCATGTCTCTTACGCTAAAGGTCACGAGATCAAATCTAATTCCCGAACAAGTAACGAATGATCTAAACTGTGTTAAAGTGTCAGGAAAAATAATACTATGTGAACAACAACCCACATCGATGAACAGCAGCTCAACGTTATCGGGATTCAAATCATACGGAATCTCTCTTTTTGTCTTTTTTTAAACGCATCGCACCCAAAAGACCAGAACCCAAGAGTGCCCTATGTTTTTGTCACCGACTGCCAATTTCATCCAATCAATTGCCTCCGTTCGTTGTTGGCTCACACATGGCGTCCGATGTATCTTTACACCCGTTTCCCCTTCTTCATTCCAGAGATTCATCGTGTGGACGCTGTAAATCTGATGGTGCACGTGCTCAACTCCGTCATAATGCTAATCGATTTGACCATTGTGGGACACCCGATCAGGCTCAACCATTCCTACTGGACGACCGGCATCGGGGTGCTGTATGCGCTGTTCTCGGTCATATACTATCTGGCCGGTGGCACCGACAGGTAATTATAGCTTAAGCATATAATACAAAGACACATCACACCTAAACCGTCCGATTTACAAACAACCATCGGAAATTAAAATATACCATAAGTAGGCGGCTGTTATGTAACATTAATGCAGGATATTGGCTTCAGGGTAATCTGCAGCAAAACAAAGGATAATCCATCGATTGGAAAACCTACAAGCAGATGACAATATAGAAATAGATCGTTTATAATCACTCTTCTGGTGACGGATGGTTAACCAGTAACAATTTATCTTCGTTAGTCTCTTCTAGATGTCAGTGTAAATAAAAAGTGGAATAATGAAAAATGTGCTGATTACAATCGTAAATTTACATATTCCGCTGCCTGTCACTATAATTACCAGGATTGAGTACATTCCATATCCCAGCATTTCCTCCCCATCACGTAATAATCTTCAGTTTTACACCACTAAAAAACCCCCTGTTCGTACGTACATAAGCATATATAGTTGATTCCATAGGGAAAGAGGCAAGCCTTGCAGAACTCCGGCAGGAATAAACCGAACTTTATATCATTCCCATGCTACATTTTTTAACACGTGTGTGTAAAGCACCACAGAAGCAGCATACCAAGTTATTTATCATCCTCTATTACCGTCACTTTCAACGACATGAATGCGATTTAAATTGGTTTCCCCACCGGAATCAATCGACCTTGTCACTCGTTCGGGGAGCTGTAATTGCGCTCTTTGAAACATACATATTTGGGCAACAGAACAAATGAAACATAAATTGGAATCAATTTCGGCAGATCCTTGATTGGGTGGGTCCAAACCTTGGATCGACAAACAAATACTAAACTTCAAAACAACAACACAACTCGGCCGAAAAATGGCGCACTAAAAACACTGAATTTGCATATCGGGACTACCAGCTCAAATTTCTAGTTGAGATGATAATTAGACTGGCCCACAAAAATAAAGGTTCAAATTTTCCACGGGTCAACCCCTGGATTTGTTCGTTTAGGTAAGATAACCATTATCCGAAAGCTTCAGTTTATTTTATTCTAAGAAGAGCTGGTGATTTTAGTATGAATTTTGTATGAAGAATTTGAATAAAATACAATGTACAATGAAAAAATGACACTCCTACACTCTATCATAAAAAAGTTTCGTTATTTTCGATTTGATTCAGATTTTCAAATCTTGTAGTTCAGTTAATGAAAAACAATTTTGCTGAAGATTGCATCATGAATCCAGTTAATTTTATTGAGATATTCGCTTTTGAATGTATATGAGCAGTTTGTTTATGAAAATTTCAATAAAATCTCCTTTATGAACATTAAACCAAAAGCGCCAGCCCGTGTAACGTCTGAAAAAGCTGAAACATTCAGAGAGTAATTATCGCACCAAAAGGCACGAGCGTAGACAGTTGGAGGGAGGGGTTGGCAATTTTCCACAGCCCATACTAATTTAAAAAATATTTTATGAACAATTGTCCACGCAGGGGAGGGAGGGGTCAAGAATCCCAAAAAAAAACTGTCTACGTAGTTAATGAACAGCCCCTAATATGTAGAAACTTGGTATTTTCATCAAAACAACTGCTCTGCAACTTTATCAACGACATGGACCCGTTATCTCGTATGTGCAGAAAGTTAGAAAAGGATGTGTTTATACTAGCTTAATCATTATTCAGGTGTGTGTATTTCAAAAGATGCGGATTATCATTTTGAGCAACTTCTCCGAAGGCCCGAGTCTCTAAAACGTCAAATAAGAGTAGAAAATGTTTTTGTCCGGCTTTATTCAAATTTGTGTCACTATGCAGCCCGGCTTAATACCAAGAAGGAAAAGATTCCCCCTACTGTGATAACCACCTCCGATTTCCATGCTCTTTGCATGGAACTTTTGAACTTCGTGAAAGTTAAGTTTTCACAAATTGGGCGTCGGGGTGATTGCCATGTATTGGCTGAAACCTTGGATGGATTTAAATGTCTTCTCAAGTATCTTTCTGAAGCAGGACACATTTTTTACTTACGACACTAAAACTGAAAGTGTGTTCAAAGTTGTCATGAAAGGACTGCCCAGTCGTAAATTCCTGGATCAGATCAAAGATAAACTGGCAAAATTGCCACTCCAAGTAATCAAAATGAAAATGAAATCCCGTCCTGGCGATTCACGCAATGGGATTTCAAATAATTTTTATTTAGTTCACTTCAAGTCTAGTGAACTAAACGACCTTAAGGTTCTTAAAAGGGTCAACAATTTGTTTACTTCTTCTTTTTGAAATATTCTTCGATCATCATTTTCTAAATGTTGGGTAAAATTTATTGGAAGTGCCTCTCCCCACGCCAAAACTGCCCATGTTTCATAAATAAAGGGTGATACGGTCAAAATTTGGTCAAGGGAAAACGCGTGTAAATCGGTGAAATCGTTTATTTAAAAAATCAAATTAAATTTCTTTTTCAAGTTCAATTAGTATAAAATTCAGGAAAAATATTCAGTTAGGCTTCCGCTTTTCCAAATCCGAATTGCCGGGCCTTACGCTTGACCCCTGCCATCAGATTTTGTACAGCCACCTTGTCCACCTTCTTCGCCTCGCCCTTAGCAGTTTTTTTGGTCTTCTTTAGGTTCCGCTTGACAATAGCCCAGTATTTCTCAATTGGGCGGAGCTCTGGCGTGTTGGGAGGGTTCTTGTCCTTGGGAACCACCTGCACGTTGTTGGCGGCGTACCACTCCATGGCCTTTTTACCGTAATGGCAAGATGCCAAATCCGGCCAAAACAGTACGGAACAACCGTGTTTCTTCAGGAAAGGCAGCAGACGTTTATTCAAACACTCTTTCACGTAAATTTCTTGGTTGACAGTCCCGGAAGCTATGAAAATGCTGCTTTTCAAGCCACAGGTACAGATGGCTTGCCAAACCAGATATTTCTTTGCGAACTTTGACAGTTTCATGTGCTTGAAAACATCTGCTACCTTTCCCCTTCCTTTTGCCGTATAAAACTCCTGTCCTGGAAGCTGCTTGTAGTTGGCTTTGACGTAGGTTTCGTCGTCCATTACCACGCAGTCAAACTTCGTCAGCATCGTCGTGTACAGCCTCCGGGATCGCGCTTTGGCCGTCGTATTTTGTTTATCATCGCGATTTGGAGTCACTACCTTCTTGTAAGTCGATAGTCCGGCTCGTTTTTTGGCTCGATGCACGGTTGTAGACGATACACCCAGCTTATTTGCGGCATCTCGGAGAGAGAGGTTAGGGTTTCGCTTGAAACTACCGGCAACTCTCTTTGTCGTCTCAGCGGCTTCCGGCTTTCGATTTCCCCCCGATCCAGACTTCCTGGCTGTCGACAAACGTTCCCCAAACACTTTAATTACATTTGTAACGGTTGATTTGGCAACTTTTAGCGATTTTGCCAACTTTGCGTGCGAGTAGCTCGGATTTTCGCGATGCGCGAGCAAAATTTTGATACGCTACTCTTCTTGCTTGGACGGCATTTTGACAACTGAAGAGTGAATTCCAAAATCAAAATTGGAGCAACATTCTACACACACACACCTTCAAAATGAGGGGTGTTCAGGTTTTTTAAATGCAAAATTGAAAGAAATACGTCAAGTTGATATTGACCAAATTTTGACCGTATCACCCTTTATCAACTGGTATGGTGAGGAAAATTTAACCATCTCTTTTCTTCCTTCATTTCAATACAACAGTAAATGTGATGTCACACTATCTAGTGCATAAGAATGTAGCAGACAAAACGTTCACACTGCCAGACTTCGCTGTAAGCAAGTTTGTTTACACCCCTGAGCGGGAAAGCGAATACCAGGCTACGTGCACTGCTGCCATCAACCCTGTTAGTGTTGAATTCAATCTTCTGTGGTTTTTTTAATTGGACCGGTGAAATGCCTAGAATGGTCGTTTTTGTTTTATTTACTCAGTTTCTGATATTTATTCAACATTAAATACATCCATCTATATTAATGAGTCAAACTTCACAATTGCTTGTTTTAATAAACTTAAATCCATTGCTAGAGGCAATAAATCTGGCAACGCTTTTTCAATGATACTTTTACGATTGCCGGAAGTTGAAGTGGTTTTCTTAGTGTTCAATTTTGTTCACCAAAAGTTTTGAGTAGCAATTGTTTTTGATTTTGTGTATTCGATTGTGTGTTATTGTGCTAAGCTTCGCAGAATACAAGTAAGTAAATACAGTGAATATGTTTTACCCAGCCTCTGCTGTCCTCTGCTGTCCGAAGAAGTCGTCTCCACTCTAATCGATCCATGGCCACACTTCGCCAACCTCGTAGTCTGCGAAAGGTCCGCAGGTCACCTTCTACTTGGTCGATCCACCTTGCCCGCTGCGCGCATCTTCTTCTTGTTCCTGTTGGGTCGCTTTCTAGAACCATTTTCACTGGGTCGTCGTGCGGCATTCTTACGACGTGCCCAGCCCACCGTAGTCGCCCAATTTTGCAATGTGGACGATGGATGGTTCTCCCAGCAGCTGGTTCAATTCGTGGATCATTCGCCTCCTCCACATTCCGTCATCCATCTGCACTCCACCGTAGATGGTAAGCAACACCTTCCGTTCAAAAACACCAAGGGCGCGTTGGTCCTCCACGAGCATAGTCCAGGTCTCGTGGCCGTAGAGGACAGTCTAATCAGCGTCTTGTAGACAACCAACTTCATACGGCGGCGAATTTTATCCAAAGTTGGCACGATTCCCTGCCATAATGCGTCTTTGAATTTCTCTGCTGGTATCATTTTCGGCGGTCACCAGTGAGCCCAAATACACGAATTCATTGACCACCTCGATTTCGTCACCGTCAATTTGAACTCGGGGTGGGAGGCTAACATTGTCTTCCCTAGAACCTCTTCCTTTCATGTATTTTGTCTTTGATGCGTTGATGGCAAGTCCAATCCGTCTAGCCTCAGCCTTCAGTCTGATGTACGTTTACGCCATCATCTCAAAGTTCCGTGCCATAATGTCAATGTCATCGGTGAAACCAAGGAGCTGGATGGACTTCCTGAATATCGTGCC